CAGAGAACCTACCTTTGCTAAGATGTAGCTCAAGGATTATTTCAGTTGATTAGAGGTCTGTCAGGAGAATGATGAGAGTAAAACCCCATTGGAGTGAATTGAAAGATGCTGAAGTGGAAATAGCAAAGGTAGATAACAATTATGAGGAATTTTTCTGGTAAAGGAAGCCAAGCAATGTACACATCTCCATTGGCATGAAGTCAAGTGATGTTTCTTCAGATTAATAACATTAAGGCAACTTTCAGCATTACTGAAAATGATCCCATGGAAAGGGAGAAATAGATTATATAAAAGGGAAAGAGGTAATTCAGGGATGAAGTTCTGGGGAATACAGTTCGGGCTGTGATGTAGAGCAGAAATAGAGAAACTGACCTTAGATGAGAGAAGAATGAAAATTCATTTCAACAGAGGGAAGATACTACTGTATGAGGTTTGGAATTCGTGATAGTGGAGCAAAGAACTTCTTGTTGGAATTTATTTTCTTTTAGAAGTATAAAGCAAATTCAATAGCTGAGAGTTGCAAAACAGTATTTCGAGATTTGCTTACAGAGATGATTTGAAGTAGTCATTATGGAAAAAAGGAAAGGTGAATTTCCTAGGGACAAGTAGTAGTGAGAAAGGAAACCACCTCCTGGGGTCAAATTGGGCAACTGTGGGTTAACTATACAGCTAAGCTTCCTGAGAAAGTTGGTGGCTTTGACCACAGCTATGTAGAGACACAGCTAGAATATGATGTCAGTGGAGCATGACGGCCCTGGAAAGTCCTGGCAGAGTTTCCCATTCTCTTTTAACTGTTGCTTTGCTTCTGTTCTGTAATCATTTCCCTTGGTACTGCCTAGCAATGAGAGATTTCCCTGTAGAAAGAGTATAAAAGTAAGAGCAAAGCCTTGCTCAGTGCTCGCAGGAGGACATGAGTCCCCTGTAGAGATGCCAGCTTCATTAATATCATCCTTTTCTCCTACTCTATACTGGAGCGATTTGTTCTGTCAAGGATCCCATTCCAGCTTCAGTACGATTGCTGCACCTTATTGGATGGTATGTGTTTGAGGTATGCCTTATATATCTGACATGGGCTTAGGTAGCATAGTTGTTTGACTTTTCTCTTGAAATGTTGAACTGCTAGCTTCTAGGCAGATTTTAAGAGAAGAATTGGATTCAACAAAGGCTGAGGGTTTGGTAGGTAAGTATATTGGAGAAGAACAAAAAAATGTTGAAGGTTTCTATGACAGAGTAGATTGCTTGTTTCTGAAATCTAAATAAGAAAGATAGCAAGCATACCCAGGGGTGGAAGAGCTGTTCACCTCATGGTGGCAAGGAAGCAGAACAGTACCAGAAAGGAAGGGGCTATGAAGTTTTTTT